ATCCCAGGAATGGAACAAAAAGAATCACAACCTTGCCCTTTGCCAAGAAAAGCTGGAAAACCTGACAGTATAAATTTGTTGCCTTTCTATATGTCTTGAACACTAGCTTGACTTGACGCGGTTTTCATATATGCCGAGACAAGAGTCATTGGCTACGAAGCGTGAACTGCTTATAGCTCGTAGGACTTTTTTTCTTCTTGATTTACTTTAGGTGATACGCTTGAAATCGGTGCAATTTTATCTCTTGAAAAGCGGGACATGATAGCCTTTGAACGCTACATGTCTCAACTAAAGTGTTACTACTGCGATTACAAGTTTGTATTCTTTTTCTACATAATCTTTCAGAACTTATCTCCCCGAATCACCATACAAATACGAATTATTCGGTCTCAATCTTTTGAGGCTTCTAGCTCAAGGAAGGCTTTCTGAATTTCACACTGTAAGAAACTTCGAACACTTAAGTGAAATCTCATTTTTAGGAAGTTGAACGCCTAAGTGTAGACGAGATTAATTCAAATCCTTACATTAAACACCCACTGTCCATGGAGCAGTACTTAATGGAAGGAAACTTTCAGAAAATTTTCATAGCCAAGGAGAATGTTCCATCTGAGCGTTATAATTACTTCGTTGACATTTTACTCAATGCTACAAGGTTTGTAGAATATTTGCTCAGACTACCTTTAAAGGGATGAAATAGCATCTTGCATTGAGGCAGCATATGAACAGCTGTCCTTACCACAAGCCAAAAAGACACTGTTCTTTGAGGATACAGATCAAATGAAAGCCTACGCCCAACAGGTACGCTTTCCACTAATACTTCACGAGTGTGTAGCGCAATTGGCACCTTGATGGAAATGTTTATCGCTTCCTGCGAGCCCAGAAGCAGGCAGATAATTCGCTTCCTGCCGCCGATCTCACTCGCATACTACTGGACTACACTCGGGAATTGGACCAAATCATTTAGGTTGTTACCATTTTCAATTAAAATACACTCTACTTGCAACCCTCTTTATCTTCCTTACTGTCTGCATACAAGTGTGCAGGTTTTGCACTTTCCGGCAAGTTAAACATTCAACAAATTATTTATAGTTTACTCCTTTTTGCCTTTGTAAGCTGACATTTTGTGTCTGATTGGTATTTTAGTCACTTACTATTTTGCAATGCATTCACATTCCCAGATGCTAAGGGGTCTGTTGTCCTTTTTCTTTAGACCATAAACTGCAATTTCAGTCAAATGTATCTACTTGATAACTAATTCTGCACTCCCTGACAAATGTGTCCAACTAAGAAAAATTATTTTGCTTAGAGAGAATAAGATTCTGTTTATCATACTTTATGTTACCCCTGCGTTCCTTAGGAAAATTTCCACGTGACTGCCTGCACCAAGTCTACGTGCAGTTCGCACTTCAGGCGAGATACTGACTAAAACTTCTGTTTAACATTGTCCGCACGATCAAGCGTTTTACCTTTATTCATACAGTTTCTGGCCTTCTGGTTTTTATGACGGCTTTTTTCATCATCTTCTTCACCGTCATCACCATCATTGTCATCATCCATATTTCAGCCAGTTTCATGTCGCATCTTCCATTGCAGTTGGCCGGCTAGCGGCTCCTGAGTGAGGTCAAATCGGTGACGCGCGAGATCAGTCTTCATCTCGGTTTTCGCAGTTTTCCTTTGGTTATCTCGGTGTAATTGGCAGCTTCAGCCGGATTCGGCGGGTACTAATACCCTCTTGATTCCATTTTCAGGTAGCACAGCATATGAGTGAGCTACTTCCGTGAGTAAAAGGGCTGACATTGACCGGTTGTGTTCCAAGCCGACTATATAATCATTCTTTGAACACACGGTCTGATACAAATCCATAAAACGAAACTTAGGCACTATCAATCGATGTATTCCAGGCCGCGAATATCTCCCGGAAGCACGGTCTCACGTTTATGTGGAAGGGCTGCTTTGCTCGAAACCTCGTATAATTCAGGCCGGTATCACACCGAATTCGAAGGAGAACCGTGTGCACCGGGCTGGTTCCATGGTCGAATTTCTTGTTCGCATACAGGAAGATCGACTACAGGTTGCAAGTGTCCATTGACTCACGAGTTTCACTTTATCAGGATCATCGGATGTATCCTATCGCGACACTGGCGGTGATAATCTGTTTTGGAGGAATTAATATGCAGTTCCACTACGGACGTTTCACGCCTCTCTGAAGGTATTAAACCGAGTCTGTCGTGTAGTTGGTCTTCTCCCCATTTATCCTGGCGTTACTTATTGTTATATGATAGTGGGCTTGGATTACTAGAAATATCCACCTGTATATCCATGAAGAGGCATAACAGACGTTAGAAGGATTTGAATACTAGCGTGAGATATGATGGAGATGGCCATAAAATTTACCCGGTCGCTACATATGAACAAGCCGACTTAGCTTTTTCATACATAACTTTCTAGTTTAAAGACCCCATTACAGTGATTGTGCTTGTGAGTTTTTGCTGTCAGTTTCTCTCAGGTTTTACATCCGGCCACGGAATACATTTAATTTATATTCCGATAATTTATCTTGTAAACAACAAGGTAATCATTCTCTAGGTTATTTAGTGTGTTTCACAGAATTGCCTCATTCACATTGGATGCAGGTCTTCGGGCTCTATGCAAAATTAAAGGATGTAGCATGGCTATCGGGTCGGTTGTTAGTTTCCATGTCAGTCGGTAACTCATCGGCTATTAGGAAGGGTAGTGGAAACACGCTGCAGGTGAGGTGCCTCTTACTACGGTTGTGACTTACGGTCCCTTTATTAGTTTGCCGAGGCGATTTATTATTAAGGCCGCGCGGTTCTTGACCTAAAAGCCAGCTTATTTCACAGCTGACCTTATCTGAGTCTGTTTGCACTATCCGTTAGTTGTGGACACGTCCATAGCCAGCAGACTGCTTCTTCTTGATGTTCTTTTTAAACCTGAAAAAGTGGGGGATTTCACCTCGCTCAGTAGCGTTTTTCAGCACTTGGAGATTTAATCCTCATTACGCTTTAGGATTTTCCAAGGTTATATCTGCAAGCAGATTCAGCCATTCGCAGACATTCCTCTCTCTCTCTCTCTCT